TTTTTAAAGGCCGTCCTTTTGTTGGCCAACCTGGCATATGCTGCTGATGCAATTTTCTTGATATGGGCTTCAGGGGACAGGTCTGGCGTGATATCAACCCCCAAGACTTTCTTTCTCTCTCTCTCTCTCTCTGACTCTTGAAAAAATTCATCTCCCAAATGGTACCTTGTATCTGGCCTTCTGCTCCCTACACTTATCTTCATTTCATTACATTTGCTTGGGTTAAATTCTAACAACCATTTGTTCGTCCATTTCTTCAGTTTGTCCAAGTCTTCTTGAAGCCTCAAGCTGCCTCCTTTGTCCTAATTCCTCTCATAATTTTTGCGTCGTCAGTAAACATTGAGAGGTATGAGTCTATACTCTCTGGGAGATCGTTTACGTATAACAGAAACAGTATAGGACCGAGTACAGAGCCCTTTGGGACTCCACTGGTGACTTCACGCCAATCTGAGGTCTCCCTGCTCATCATATATGTACTAAAATGGATGTATTTGGGCACAAATTTGATGAACATCTGTTCCCAAATTTATCCATGAGTGTCGTCGGGGGTTGATCAGTCGTAGAGCTTTTTTAATCGGCACCAGGACTGACCAAACCTTATACTGTTATCTGTTATCCTTAGACTGTTTTCTGGTATGTCAAGAGGAGTACAGGCCGGATCACGGTACACTCTGTCGGCTATCATCCCGATTGTTTCATCCACAGGTACGTTAGTAAACAGGGATTCTACGTCCAACGAGGCTCTTATCCCTGTGGCCCGTGTTCACCACAGCAAGTCAACAAATTCCTTTGGAGACTTCAGGCTGAAGGCGCAAGGGGCATAAGGAGTCAGCAAGCCGTTGAGTCGTTTCGCCAGTCTGTACGTGGGTGTGGGTATCTGGCTCATGATTGGCCGAAGTGGGTTTCCAGACTTGTGTGTCTTGACATTTCCATACGCATATCCAGGTTTATATTCCCAAATAATCTTTGGCAGGTGGAGTCCAGATTTCTTGGCGTTCACAGTTTCGATCAATTTGTTGACCTTTGCTTTCAGTTCGCCTGTAGTGTCCTTCGTTACCCTTTGGAATTTAGTTTGGTCAGAGAGTATGAGGTTCATTTTCGCCAGATATTCGTCTTTTTTAGGAATGACGTATATTGGCGACTTGTCGACAACTATCTCCTTGTTCTCACGAAGGCTCTTAGCTGCCACTTTGAGCTCGGGTGAAAGTATCGTGCTTCTGTTGTTGCCTCGATTCTTTCCTCCTTCAGCAATAAGTTCTGCTTGTAAGGTATCTTAGGTTACAAAGATACCTTACCAAATGTAGATATAAACTCTAAAGATGTGTAAGCTCTATTCAGTTTCAGTTGTGTGTTTGTAAACTAAAGTCTTTGAAAATGTAATAAGTTTTATGAAACGCGCTCAAGTGTCGCGTCAGACTAGAGATAAAAATGAATTTTGGAGAATTGATCTTTGACTGTTACATCTAGAAAGGACAGCTTCCCATCCTTCTCCATCTCGTAAGTGAAACGCAACACAGAATTCTGCTCAAATGCCTCCTTCAGCTCCTGCAGATGTCTGACATCAGGTACCTGTGTAAAAATGTCGTCAACATACCTGCAGTATATGGCCGGTTTCAAGTTCATGTCGACTAAGACTTTTTGCTCGATGGTACCCATGTAGAAGTTTGCAAACAGGACACCTAGGGGAGAACCCATGGCGACCCCATCTACTTGCTTATACATGTGTCCATCCGGGCTCAAGAGGGGTGCCTCATTAGTACAAGCTTGGAGTAGTTTCCTTAGACTGTTTTCTGGTATGTCAAGAGGAGTACAGGCCGGATCACGGTACACTCTGTCGGCAATCATCCCGATTGTTTCATCCACAGGTACGTTGGTAAACAGGGATTCTACGTCCAACGAGGCTCTTATCCCTGTGGCCCGTGTTCACCACAGCAAGTCAACAAATTCCTTTGGAGACTTCAGGCTGAAGGCGCAAGGGGCATAAGGAGTCAGCAAGCCGTTGAGTCGTTTCGCCAGTCTGTACGTGGGTGTGGGTATCTGGCTGATGATTGGCCGAAGTGGGTTTCCAGGCTTGTGTGTCTTGACATTTCCATACGCATATCCAGGTTTATATTCCCCAATAATCTTTGGCAGGTGGAGTCCAGATTTCTTGGCGTTCACAGTTTCGATCAATTTGTTGACCTTTGCTTTCAGTTCGCCTGTAGTGTCCTTCGTTACCCTTTGGAATTTAGTTTGGTCAGAGAGTATGATTTTCATTTTCGCCAGATATTCGTCTTTTTTAAGAATGACGTATATTGGCGACTTGTCGACAACTATCTCCTTGTTCTCACGAAGGCTCTTAGCTGCCACTTTGAGCTCGGGTGAAAGTATGGTGCTTCTGTAGTTGCCTCGATTCTTTCCTCCTTCCGCAATAAGTTCTGCTTGTAAGGTATCTTTGGTTACAAAGATACCTTACCAAATGTAGATATAAACTCTAAAGATGTGTAAGCTCTATTCAGTTTCAGTTGTGTGTTTGTAAACTAAAGTCTTTGAAAATGTAACAAGTTTTACGAAACGCGCTCAAGTGTCGCGTCAGACTAGAGATAAAAATGAATTTTGGAGAATTGATCTTTGAATTATCATCAACAGTGAAAAGAAACATAAGAAAGATAGAGAAAATTCGTTTTAGAATTATTAATTTTACTTTTTCGGTCATATTTAATAATATATGTCTACAGGAAAGACTGCTACCAATATATATATATATATATATATTATTAAATATGACCGAAAAAGTAAGATTAATAATTCTAACACGAATTTTCTCAATCTTTCGTACATTATGCTTCACTGTTGGAGGTAAATCAAAAATCACTTCTCCAAAATTAATTTTTATTTCTAGTCTGACGCGACACGGGCGCGTTTCGTAAAACTTATTACATTTTCAAAGACTTCACAAATACACAACTGATTAGAACTTGCGTTTCCCTGATTTTATATCTACATTTGAGTGAGGTGGGAAGGGTGATGTGGCATTACATTTGAGTGAGGTGGGAAGGATGATGTGGCATTAACACAAGACAGAACACTAGAGGATATTAATAGGGTATTAAAAGTATCAACACAAGACAGAACAGAAACAATGGGTATTGAATAGAAGTGTTTGTAGAAAGCCTATTGGTCCATATTTCTTGATGCTTCTATATTGGAGCGGAGTCTTGAGGTGGGTAGAATATAGTTGTGCAATAATTGGCTGTTGATTGCTGGTGTTGACTTCTTGATGTGTAGTGCCTCGCAAACGTCAAGCCGCCTGCTATCGCTGTATCTATCGATGATTTCTGTGTTGTTTACTAGGATTTCTCTGGCGATGGTTTGGTTATGGGAAGAGATTATATGTTCCTTAATAGAGCCCTGTTGTTTATGCATCGTTAAACGCCTAGAAAGAGATGTTGTTGTCTTGCCTATATACTGGGTTTTTTGGAGCTTACAGTCCCCAAGTGGGCATTTGAAGGCATAGACGACGTTAGTCTCTTTTAAAGCGTTCTGTTTCGTGTCTGGAGAGTTTCTCATGAGTAGGCTGGCCGTTTTTCTGGTTTTATAGTAAATCGTCAGTTGTATCCTCTGATTTTTGTCTGTAGGGATAACGTTTCTATTAACAATATCTTTCAGGACCCTTTCCTCTGTTTTATGAGCTGTGGAAAAGAAGTTCCTGTAAAATAGTCTAATAGGGGGTATAGGTGTTGTGTTAGTTGTCTTTTCCACAGCTCATAAAACAGAGGAAAGGGTCCTGAAAGATATTGTTAATAGAAACGTTATCCCTACAGACAAAAATCAGAGGATACAACTGACGATTTACTATAAAACCAGAAAAACGGCCAGCCTACTCATGAGAAACTCTCCAGACACGAAACAGAACGCTTTAAAAGAGACTAACGTCGTCTATGCCTTCAAATGCCCACTTGGGGACTGTAAGCTCCAAAAAACCCAGTATATAGGCAAGACAACAACATCTCTTTCTAGGCGTTTAACGATGCATAAACAACAGGGCTCCATTAAGGAACATATAATCTCTTCCCATAACCAAACCATCGCCAGAGAAATCCTAGTAAACAACACAGAAATCATCGATAGATACAGCGATAGCAGGCGGCTTGACGTTTGCGAGGCACTACACATCAAGAAGTCAACACCAGCAATCAACAGCCAATTATTGCACAACTATATTCTACCCACCTCAAGACTCCGCTCCAATATAGAAGCATCAAGAAATATGGACCAATAGGCTTTCTACAAACACTTCTATTCAATACCCATTGTTTCTGTTCTGTCTTGTGTTGATACTTTTAATACCCTATTAATATCCTCTAGTGTTCTGTCTTGTGTTAATGCCACATCATCCTTCCCACCTCACTCAAATGTAATGCCACATCACCCTTCCCACCTCACTCAAATGTAGATATAAAATCAGGGAAACGCAAGTTCTAATCAGTTGTGTATTTGTGAAGTCTTTGAAAATGTAATAAGTTTTACGAAACGCGCCCGTGTCGCGTCAGACTAGAAATAAAAATGAATTTTGGAGAAGTGATTTTTGATTTACCTCCAACAGTGAAGCATAATGTACGAAAGATTGAGAAAATTCGTGTTAGAATTATTAATCTTACTTTTTCGGTCATATTTAATAATATATGTCTACAGGAAAGACTGCTACCAAAATATACTAATATATATATATATATATATATATATATATATATATATATATATATATATATATATATATATATATATATATATATATATATATATATATATATATATATATATGTATATATATATATGTATATATATATATATGTATATAAGAATGTGCAACAATAAAAAGGTATATAAATGATTATTAAAGATAAAATAAAAATTAATAATAATATTTCCTACTAATATATGCTAAATTTATTGCTGTAATCATAAAATTCCTGACATTTAGATTATAGATTCTTTAAAACAATTTAAAACTTTTTCAGGTTGCATGTTGCTGTCTGTGCTCTCACAAGCTGTGTGCCATAGAAAAGCTGTGTCACTGACATCTGCAAGCCGAGAGCCAGAGAGAAGCCAGCAATGCCAATAATGAGTGCCAGAGAAATATAGAAAGTATAAGTATTCAATTCAAATGATATATCTTAAGCCAATATCCATTTTTTTAAATGTAGATATCTGTTAAATATATATAAATAACATATATAACAGTGTCGATAGGCTCTGAGACTGGGCGACTGAGGTAAATGTGAACTTAAGTTCCTAAAGGAGGTGGGTGAGGAACTCTTTAGGCTAACTAGAAACTCAAGATCGGCCAATTTCCCATTCCAGCGCCTCAGTGTCGCGGTCCAGAAAGGAAATGATTGCTGTATCATGGGAACGCACCTAACCTCCAAAGAGCTTAATGAGGTCTTTGAGCATTGACTGTTATATATATGTGTGTGCATGTTTTCTGTAAATAACAGAGTAAAATAGAAGATAATATCTGTTAACGAGAATATTTCTTTGTATCCTCAGAGCAAAGATTACACTAATGAAAAGGAAATTAAACTATCACCATAATTTGCGTTAATTTGCTAAACTGCACTGGACAATTATGAGACAAAATAAGTTTGAAAAACAATTGAAAAAATTTAATCTATATTTGAGACAAAAATCATCAAGCCTCGTGCTATGTTCAGCGAAGACAATGAATGTTTTAATCTTAAGTAAAATATATACAAACGCTTTGACATATCAAGAAAATCTTTCTGGTACACATATGAATGAATCATTGAATAAAAAACACAAAAACTAACAAAATCCTTATACGAAATACCAAGTGGGGCAATAATTGGCAAAAAGAACAGAAGTGATATAGCAATAAAAATGGTTCTGGAACACAATTTAAGGAATATTGCATATAAAGAGACCAAAGCAAGGAGAAAACCTTTGTTCAAAAACCTAACAAGTTGTGAAAATTCGTGAAAGGGGAAAACAATTACTGACACAATACATATAGACGAGAGTGCTTTGGAGCGCATGTTAAGGATTGCAGTATTGAAGGAGGATATAATCTGAATACCTCCAAGTGCTCTGTTGTGACTGAGTACCTAGAGGTATTAGTGACCACAGTAGCTACAGATACTAGAGAGACTTGAGTACCTAGTGATAATAGTGTTACCGCAGTAACTAGAGGTGCTACTATGATCACAGTAACTAGAGATACTAGTATAACCTGAGTACCTACTGAGGTTAGTGTAACCACAGTAGAGGTGCTAGTGTAAGCAGTGTACCTAGTGTGACAGCCAGTGAGGTATAGCTTGGTGCGAGATGGGCAGGGTGCTCAGCTCCAGCTCCTGTCCCCAGCTCTTCTGGCTCCTCCTCTCCTGCTCCACCTGCTGTCTCGGTAAGTCTAAATATTTTATTTGTTTATATATATTTTATAACCTTGTATAGATAATAACTTTAATCCATTGTGTAATATACATACATACATATATATATATATATATATATATATATATATATATATATATATATATATATATATATATATATATATATATATATATATATATATATGTCGTACCTAGTAGCCAGAACGCACTTCTCAGCCTACTATGCAATGCCCGATTTGTCTAATAAGCCAAGTTTTCATGAATTAATTGATTTTTGACGACCTAACCTACCTAACCTAACCTAACCTAACTTTTTCAGTTACCTAACCTAACCTATAAAGATAGATTAGGTTAGGTAGGGTTGGTTAGGTTCGGTCATATATCTACGTTAATTTTAACTCCCAATAAAAAAATTGACCTCATACATAATGAAATGGGTAGCTTTATCATTTCATAAGAAAAAAATTAGAGAAAATATATTAATTCAGGAAAACTTGGCTTATTTGGCAAATCGGGCCTTGCATAGTAGGCTGAGAAGTGCGTTCTGGCTACTAAGTACGACATATATATATATATATATATATATATATATATATATATATATATATATATATATATATGTACATAAAGCATATTATACATAACATACATGTTGAAAATAAGCTCAATTAATATTTTGTATGTATTTATACTGGTATGCAAACAAATGAATATATATACATATAGAACACACGATAAGCATCGTGCAATTTCTCTCCTGATGCACAAACGTAATGGCAAATCCAAAGTTTCCGCATGAAGATAAACATTGCGTGTGTGTGTGTGAGTACTCACCTATTTGTACTCACCTAATTGTGCTAGCGGGGGTTGAGCTCTGGCTCTTTGGTCCCACCTCTCAACCGTCAATCAACAGGTGTACAGGTTCCTGAACCTACTGGGCTCTATCATATCTACACTTGAAACTGTGTATGGAGTCACCCTCCACCACATCACTTTCTAATGCATTCCATTTGTCAACCACTCTGACACTAAAAAAGTTCTTTCTAATATCTCTGTGGCTCATTTGGGCACTCAGTTTCCACCTGTGTCCCCTAGTGCGTGTGCCCCTTGTGTTAAACAGCCTGTCTTTATCAACCCTGCAATTCCCTTGAGGATTGTGTGTGTGTGTGTGTGTGTGTGTGTGTGTGTGTGTGTGTGTGTGTGTGTGTGTGTGTGTGTGTGTGTGTGTGTGTGTGTGTGTGTGTGTGTGTGTGTGTGTACATCTACCTAATAGTTCATCTACCTGGAATCTCCATAAATGGGACCTGTTTGTTTGCTGGGCTGTACTGCTGAACGTTGCTTACTTCCGTACGTGGGAGCTGGTGTTCAGTACATAGGTCCTGTACATGGCGGCTGGTGTTCGGTACATAGGTCCTGTACGTGGCGGCTGGTGTTCGGTACATAGGTCCTGTACGTGGCGGCTGGTGTTCGGTGCATAGGTCCTGTACGTGGCAGCTGGTGTTCGGTACATAGGTCCTGTACGTGGCGGCTGGTGTTCGGTACATAGGTCCTGTACGTGGCGGCTGGTGTTTGGTGCATAGGTCCTGTACGTGGCGGCTGGTGTTCGGTGCATAGGTCCTGTACGTGGCAGCTGGTGTTCGGTCCATAGGTCCTGTACGTGGCAGCTGGTGTTCGGTGCATAGGATTGTACGTGACAGCTGGTGTCCGGTACATAGGTCCTGTACGTGGCAGCTGGTGTTCGGTCCATAGGTCCTGTACGTGGCGGCTGGTGTTCGGTGCATAGGTCCTGTACGTGGCAGCTGGTGTTCAGTCCATAGGTCCTGTACGTGGCAGCTGGTGTTCGGTGCATAGGTCCTGTACGTGGCGGCTGGTGTTCGGTGCATAGGTCCTGTACGTGGCAGCTGGTGTTCAGTCCATAGGTCCTGTACGTGGCGGCTGGTGTTCGGTACATAGGTCCTGTACGTGGCAGCTGGTGTTCGGTCCATAGGTCCTGTACGTGGCGGCTGGTGTTCGAAGCATTGATCCGGTACGTTGTAGAAACCCCGTTAACGTGGGTGCTAACAATCATTTTAATATTGTAATTATACGACACACGAGTTCAACTATCATAACACTCCTGGTTCCTAGTGTCTGTTTGTATTCATATTATATACAACCGAAGTTATATGCGATTCAACCAAAATTCAGAAAGTGATAGATAGTATGTTACGTTTTCACAATAGACTATAACTGACCACTCTAGTCACGAATGTGAATTATAGGTTTGTTTCATTATGATAGACTGTTTTTGGTCATTTTCGTCTAACACTCCAACTGAATATACATACAAATATACAAACATGTATAAATAAATAAATAAATAAATAATGTTTATTTAGGTAAGATACATACATACAAGAAATTTTTACAAAGATTGGTGGACTTATAGATAGAGCTAGTACATACAATGCCTAAAGCCACTATTACGCAAAGAGTTTCGGGCATAACATATACGTCTAAGTAGTCACATTACAAGCTTCGATACGATTCAATTGAAATGAAACAAAAAACTAGAGCTCAGACAATGTCACCAAACACTACACTAAGCGTTACATAAAAAACAAAGTTCAGAAAACTGAAAAACGAATGAGCTTTATTTGTTGTAGCTCATTCATCACTGAATGAAATGATTCATTACGATGATTTCGAGGCTTAATGTTCCCGTGGCCCGGTCCTCGACCAGGCGTCCGTGATAGGCCTGGCATGATACCCTTCCTGTATAATTTTCTTCAGTGATACAGAAAGAGTGTGACACAGTACTCGAGCCGTATGTTTGTGCTACGTTTGTGTCACTCCAAGCATCATTCTCATCATCCGTAGGAGCATGTAATCTGAGCATACTACGTCTAATGCAAACGTGTCCCCATTCAGCTACGTTCAGAACGCTACAAGCAAACCTGTCATCGGTTAGAGCCTATTCTGACAGGTTAGGTTAGCTTATAGTATTGTGAACGAGTCGTGGTATTATGTCAAACTTCGGGAAGCTGTATTGCAGGAAGTTTTGGTGTTTACGAATTATATTAATATTACAAGTTTATCGACGTTAATATCTGAATTTTGTTTCGTAGTTTCAACGACATTGAAAGTTGTATTCTCTCTTGTGGTTGCACAAACAAATTATATTCCAGCAAGATTGATATCTGAACCGTGTACTGGATTTTGGGTTCCCCAATAATACATTTTCCAACACATAAGACGGAACATTATATTATCCAGCCATCAATAACACGGGTGTTTAAACCACACTTCAGAAACTGATGACACGACGACGTTTCGGTCCGTCGTGGACCATTATCAAGTTATTATACGACTTCATAATCGTCCCGGACGGACCGAAACGTCGTCTTTCTTTATTGTTTGATGTGTGATTTGGACATCATATCTTCAGCCACTTTATTGTGGCTCTTCGTCTGCATAAATAACTATGATATGTAATGAGCGAGTTTTTCAGATAGGACATCAAACTAATCTGGCGTAATGTAATAATATCTCAATTTTGAAATCATCTATCAACCGTACCCTGAACCTCAATCAAATAATCAACATATTAACACCAGGAATTACAGCCTTTCTTTTTCCCCTGGTAAATTTCCTTCTGTCGTATGCACATGCAGGACAAGACTGAACATTGACTTTATTCCTGTAAATAATAAGTCATAAGTCAGCATTAAATCGTACTTCTAAGCCGTTATCACCAAGGTGTTTTACTTATGCCTCAATCATCAGTGTAAAATAGGATGAATGGAATAGGGAGGAATTGTATCTACTGTGTGGGTTACAAATCGTAGGTAATATAGCAGTAAATAGGTACCTGGGAGTTAGACAGCTGCTACGGGCTGCTTCCTGGGGATGTGCAACAAAAAGGAGGCCTGGTCAAAGACAGAGCCGCGGAGACGCTAAGCCCCGAAATCATCTCAAGATAACTTCAAGATAGATGGACTATTAATGGGAATATACTTTGAATGAAATGAGAGGTTGAATCTCAAAGTTAGTTGCATCTTTACAGTGTTAAAAACATGATTCCCTCTTTGGAAACATTAATTTGCAATTCTCAATCGACCTAAGTTATTATTTTTTCCATTAAATATTTACGTACTTTTGATTAAGAAAAATTAAGTTGAAAAAAGAGCATCTGATCAATACATTTCATCAATCTGTAGACCATAATCTCATCTTAAAATAAGCCAAGCTCCCACGGACAATGTAGTCATAATTCACTTATTTTTTTTCGAAACAAGCAAGATTACTGATGCTGAGAACCTCCCCGTTACTACACGTTCTCAAGAGACCCGATTTCCACTTCTCATGGTATCTCTTAATTGTTGTGGGCATTGCAGTTTTGGCCATCGTTGTGACAGCTGCCAAAATTGAATACCACATACCATTTTCAACCTCACTACCTCAAGGATAAGATGCACGCTAACACCATTAGTCGTATTTTTAACGTCTCGAAACACAAAGATTGTTTTGTATTGAAGACAAAGCACGTAATTATACTGATGTTTTGGTCGGCATTACCAACTAATCGTGCCTCTCTTGGCACCTTTATTTTAAACTGTCAGGAAACATGTTGATATATTATTTAGGATATAGTCATTCAATTATTCTATTGTGGTATTATTTTCTTCAAAGAAAAGTCCATTCTAAATCAAATCTGTTAACTGGACTCAAAAAGCACTAAGTAGTACAATTACACGTCTTTGGTTGTGTCTTTGTTTACACACATTGCCTAATAATTCTGAATCAATTTAGTACCTCAGACGTTTTGGAGGACACATATAATAGACCCAACTCAGCACTTCTTAGTATTCGCCTGTGATCTAAGATGATACGAATCAGGGAATTAACAAGACGAATAGTGGAACATGCGAGGTATATTATTTTTTATATATACCGAACCAAACTTATTCACTCTCATATATCACACCTTCGCTTCGAACAATTCAGAGTTCCCATGAATATTATTTAA